GGTGTGGATCGAATGGAAGCTCAAACGTCGACGTGTGGTTGCGAGTACACCTTAGGAAAGCAGGAGTTTTATGTGCGCAATATTGTAGGGTACAATTTGCAGCTGCTTACGCAAGGTGTGTGGTGAGTAGCGGTAGCTGTGGATCTCTAAACGGTTGATTCTGTAGATAATACGGATCAACTGCTATGCATAGAGTGTGCGTTTGTCCTGGACAGGACCAATTCTGGGTCGCGACCTCCAGACTGGATACTCTGATACTAAGTATCGGAAGTAGCAAGATATTCAACAAGTTCAGCATCAAACTGACCGTGACGCCTCCACATACCTTTTAGCTAAACGCAAGATAAAGCGTACTTACCGAAGATCAAATAAAGGCATGTGGGCCACATGATGTGGCCGCTAGCGAACTGTCATTTCCACTGAACTTCTGAGGGGAAGCCTCTCCAACTCTTGCATTGAAATGACCGTAAACGCGGCAAATCTTTGTTGGTGAGCCACCGGGTATTTTCATCGGCATCCTCGCGAATTTACTTTTTCTCGGGTAGGCGTCGAAAAGGCATGCGTTATGCGTACAAGCATTCATATACGAACTGCGATATTTCGGGAAACAAAAGTCGATAGCCAAGAGTTTCGCGATAAGGAAGTAAAGATGGCACCTTGAAGACGTAGTTGAATGAGATAATTGGTGAGTTATAGTATCATCTTGAGTAACCCGTTTCAATGAGTTGGGCATGGAAGCTGCGCCACATGCCGCTCTCCACGTACTCTGGTGTACGAAATTAACACTCGTCGTCGTGATGGCTCTCCCAAGCTCATTAACCGTCGTGAGGCGTTATTGAAGGAAGCTTGCCCATCGTATTGCACAGTCGTATTTCTGATCCAAGCCGTGTGATAAGGGTTTGCCCGCGGTAGCTGCTACAGCCACAGCCCTGTTCTTGAGCCACAAGATGCCACACTGTAGCTACAGTGTGGCATCTTGTGGCTCAAGAACAGTTCTTCCCAGTGACAACTCGGCAACATCATGAGGATGACTGGTAACTGGCGATACCAATGACCAGTACGGTCAAACTACAACAGATTCGGGGTCGTTCGAGAGTTCCCTCACAGCTTGAGGAAGGGTACGCGAGCACATAGCGATCGGAGCTAAACTTTGCTTGCGGCTCAGGCGTAAGGGCGGGGTGCCAGGGGGAATATGGTGCCTGTGAGGGGCACTTCTATCGAAGGTCGAGGATACGCGTTACTAGCGGAGCATTCGGCCCACTGCACCGCCAACGACACTATCCTCAAATTCCACGTGTTAGAATGATCTCGAGCATCCAACTCTTCACTTATTCAAGCTCAAGAGTTCCACCACAGTTGTTGATACCGCCTCCTTTGTACAGTTCGAATGGCACGAGCTCTCCGTCTCATCCTGGTTGCAGCCACCCTATCCACAGGCATCACCGCCTCTCCACCGCAGGGCGGCGCCTATTGTGTAGAGTATTACTCTCCCCTCAAAGGGGTTGAAATGGTCATGATATTTGCTAGAGAAGCTCAGTCCACGAGTCCGGCTAACAAAACCGTGGAACTTTATGGCGTCACACCAACGGAGCAAATCGTGCGAGTCTCCGCCTGGTTCAATGCATCGCTGCCTACTATCAAGCTGCTCAGCACGAATCCTTTTCACAACATAGACAACTTTGTCTCGCAAATGGGCTTGCCTGTGGGCTTCTTTAATGCAGGAGATACCACTCCCACCTTGGATGGCCACCTCACAGTTATCTTCGGGGAGGGACCTAACCAGATCAATATGGGTTATAGAAGATGCTACCTATCGCTCATCGAGCAAAACTCCTGCTCCCACCATGGTTACGAGATCGCCTTCGGCTTTCGATCGGACATCGTAGACCATGGTGTGATATTTGATAGAACTTGCACCATTAGCAAGGATGGCACGCCGCTCGGTAAGTTTGTGATGAACTTCCACGATTCTGACTATGCCTCCCCCAATGGATTTAGAATAACTCTTGTGAGGAACTCTACCACGGATATCATAAAGCTTCTCATGGCATTTGACCCAAACTTCGAACAATGGTTGAAGCCTTACGGAAGTAGAATATATCCATCTGAAGAGAAGTATTGGATAAGTGGTCAGGGTATCAGCTACCATCAAATGAAGAGGCAGCTCGTTGTATGGCTCGTTGAAGGTGTGAGTTTAGGCTTTACTCCGTGTTAGCGGCTATCTACTCGAGCATCTTATTTATTACCCTTTATCGAACATCGATGATGAGCCATGACTCTCGAACGATTCTTCATAAGTTCTTGATTCATGATAAGTCGATTAAGAGTCTTATTTTATAGGCATAATGATGCGGTAGACTATTTCATGGAATGGGCTATTTCTCAGCTTTCCCATGAGCGTATTGCGTCTTAGAGTAGGTTCCCATGTGGGATTCACATGTCATGATTCACAATGTGAATGTGTTTGTTACACACTTTCGGAAAATACTCCGCACAAAGCGGGAGTCGATCCTTCTGTGATGATAGAATGATGATCCACGAAGAGCGAGTGGCACAACGACCTGCACAGCCTTTACAATAAGCCGCTAAAGCTTTGAGCGCTCCACCACGAGCTGGTAGGGCCTGACCGTAAGTCCGCACGACCGACAGTCGTTGGTACTGTATCCAGGTCAAATACTGTAGCTCTGTATCCAACATGTAGCATAATACAGTATTATTAATACTCTTATGCTCCCATCGGTAGTGAGATTGTTAAACGTCTGTACATCCGAAGCCGGCCAAACAAACTCATCGGATTCAGCCGATTCATCCGATACCAAACTGCTATAGCTTTTTCCTTTACTTGCCAACTGCTAAATACTCTTCGTGAACTTCAGTAGTCTGCTCTGCTACTACCGCCCCGTAGTCAGCCACTTCCTTCCAAAGTAAGTTCAGCCAAAAGAATCCTTTGGCTGCTTGTTGCACCGACAAGCTCATCAGAAAGCAACGTACTCTAGTAGGGAAAGCCTTCCCAAACATCATGCCTTTCGTCATTATAGAGTAGCAGGTACATGACAATAAATATTAACTGTGTTCTGGGACAGAGCCAACTGATGGCACATTTGGCGTGAATATTTATAAATAACTTATATGGTATTGAACAGGTTCAGCACCTGACACCTTCCTTATATGACAACTCCTGGCTGAACACAAGATAATGCGGGCAACTGGAAGAAGAAGCAACAACAAACAACAGCCGGGCATGCATCGACCATTCATGACCCCTCATTTTCAGGGGATAAGTTTTTCGACTCTTCACGACGCCTCACCTGACGCCGAACCGATCAATAGTGTCTTCGCAAACTCTGCTGACCTTCCTCGGTGAGCCACCAGTGGCTTCACCTGCATCTTCGCTATACGTCAAATAAGGCGAAGAGTGGCCAACTTTCTGCCGCTCATTCCTGATCCTTCTGGAGTATGAATCCAGGGGAGGCAAGGCTGTGGGTGCCAGGATATTTACCTGAAGGAAACAGGTCAATCGCTAGTCGACCCACCAACTAAGGGTATTCGGCACAGATTTATTTCTATGATCATCCGCACCTCGTCCGGGACGAGTATTCGCTTCTCATCAGCAATGCGTTGCATCTCAGAGACCTAACTCGACATGGTCAGGCAGCCCTGTGGTTGCGGCACTTGACTTGTAGCTTATCGAGCTTTCGCAGCTCCCTTTGAGTCTCTACGGCTTGAGCTTCCTTTTCAGCGAGTTCCTACGAGAGACTGCGTGATGAAGGGGGGAATTTAATGGTGACCGCTGTAAGCTTGTCCATCTCGTCTCTATGGGATCTCTTACTTGCCGATATACCTTCTCCCAATGATCGGCATATGCTCTCTACTGCAGACAACTAACAGTATGCGGCACGCTTTTGTATACTACTGGGTAGAGTGCCCATCACCGAGGAGGCTTACCAAGGCTGAATCATCATCGCCATCAAGAACCCGAGAAAGAGAGCTCTCCATTGACGGTTCATCTGTAACGATGTCCTCAACTATTTTACGGAGTCTTCTCCGCAATGGTCTTGTTTCCCTTCTAACCATTCTCGTAGCCTCTCCAGCCTCCCGAAGACGCTCCTCGCAGCCAACATTCTGAGGAGTTACCGGTCAGAATCAAACCCCGAAGCCCACCAATGAGCATATTCTTTACTTTATCGCCGCCGGATACAAAACTGAGAATACCTTTTGGACTGGTGGCAACCTGTTCAGCAACTCCCTCTCTGGTCTACAAGTCAAGATTGGCGCCTCGTGGTTGGATCAATCGATTACCGATTCTCTATCAGCTTCATTTAATTCACGCTCAAGCTCCATCGCAACCTTGCGAAGTTCTTCGAGCTTACTCTGAAATCCTTCGATCACCGTCTTCTGCGAACCTATATCGAGCCGTAGCAGCAAGAGATAACAGCACCATCCGGAGCTGACCTACGCCTCATGGACTCGTCGCGTATGCGAATCTGGCGGTCTCGGTAGTTCTCCAATCCAGCTAGCTCGTTCACCGTCGTCCACAGTCTCCGTCGAGCGTACCGCATAGCGTTCCTTGTAATCCTTGAGCTTACATTTTTGATAAATCTACCAAGATGCGCCGCCGACACAAGTGACGGAGGCGGCTACCGAGTGGCTACTTACTGCAATGAATTATTTGATATTGTTGTTGCCCCACGTGCCTGAGAATGACGAGGTCGAGGATGAGAGAATGCCCACGATCTCACTTCATGATTAGAGACGGCGGAAACCTGGTCGCTTCGAGTAGAAGCATCATTGCCAGCATTGGAGCCTAAAGGGGAAACCTTCTTTTAAGGGATGACACCGATAGCTTACTGTGAATGGCATTTGACCGCTGAAGCGCAACCGTGGGAGAAGGTGCATTCTCGGATTCGAGATGAGTCATTACAAAAGACCATTCCACTCTAACTTTCGATTAGGCGTAGGGCCTTCCCCCGTATCGTGACAGTTATCACTGGTCCATATAGTGGCTGTTCTGGGAGTCGAACCCAGGCCTCTACCGCCCAAAGGCAGAATCTTAACCTCTAGACCAAACAGCCACACAAAAATAGAGAGTGCTAAAACCTTCCACGCTATGCCTCACAAATCAGTTAGAATATACTGTACGTTACCATCAAGGAACTAACTATTTTGGCAGTCCCGAGTAAAGACTCTCATTGAACAACAGCCTGAACTGGCGACACACCGAGCAGCTTGCCCCAATTCCAAAACTCAACGGGTGCCATCCGGAATGGTAGCACAGTCCCATCGACAAATTGGAGTATCATCACAATACCCTTTAGCTCATACCAATCTCGAGCATCTCATAAAAGAGTGGAGATCCAGAATGAGCACATGTCCTACAATCAGCATTGTGTTCCGGTTGGTACCTTCAAAAACTCGCCAACCAGGTAAACAAGTGAACGCTCCGTGGGGCCTCCACGTGGCTTTGAAAATTCAGCTTTTCTCGTAAGCTGTATATTTCTTATTAACGAAACGAAACAAGTCCTTGCATGGAAGAAACACTTTCTACGGTGGCAAACATTAAGGGAGCATATCCTCCCGAATGATGGGTGACAAAAGTTGACGGCAAATGGCGTACAGGACGACGCCCTTGCTGTCGTACAGGTCGACGATCGACTAGCCAACCGCCGGAGAGTTTCCTCAACTCCAAGGCGGCGTTAAAGCAAAATGTCGATGATCAGACCATAAAAGTCAAACATAATAATAATCTACAAGCACAGCCACAACGCTGTGTTGCACTTGAAGCCGCTCCCCAGTGCAATCTGCAGAACGCTGTCGCCGGGCCTCAACTTGCCGGTCTTCTCGAGGATACCCATCTCGTACCATACAGAGGTACTCATCGTGTTACCATGTCTTGATAGACTTTCTCTAGATGGGTTAACATCCTTCTCGGTTAGATTCAACACTTCCATAATATTATCAATAACAGCTCGTCCGCCGGCATGGATGCAGAAAAAGTCGACAACGTTGGGCAGGTCCGATGGAGCCAAGCGGGCACTGCGGCTGAAATAGCGTAAGAACTTGGGCAGCCTACTCATGCGAGGAAGGAGCTGTTCCAGGTTGAGCATAAGCGCCTCGCCAGCGACGGGAACGATGCTTTTGTTGAGGCAGAGGCTGAGTAGGCCTTCCTTATCGGACCCTTGCCAAGCAGCTTCGATCGCCTCATCTTTTACAACTTGAGCGCGAACAGTATCCAACAACTCATACTTGCCTGAGAGACCATCGGTGATGGGCGTCGAACTGAACCACCGCTCAACCAAAAACTTACAGTTTCCAGAATTCCAGTTAGTGAGAAGCGCGGCCGTTGCCCCATTGCGAAATAGGACATTTGACATGACACGGCTTCGCTCATTACCAGAGTAAAATTGGCGAGCATAAGACTCCGCTGATACCACCACACAGAGTGAACCGAGCGGAGCGTGCTCAAGGAGTCGACGGCCTAGGTCCATGGAGATGCCATTCGCAGAGCATCCCATACCTGGTCGAGCTGTTGTACATCACTGCTGCGATTGCAAAGAATACATACCTGATAGGTTGTAGCTGAGGCAGTCACTCCTAAATCCAAACTTATGGGATACCATCGCAGATAGTGAAGGAGTTGGGTTAAAGAAAGAACAATTTAATACAAGAAACTGAAAAAAGTTAACAAATCGGCTGCTGTTGTGAAGCATGGTGGACTTACGTCTATTTGTTGGGGTTTAACACCAGTTTTATCCAGTAGACCTTGTATGATATCGGTTAATATGAATTCCATTTCCTCTCTAGCATCTGCCATATTAGCCGACCATGGTTCACCAGTCCTCAGGCTTTTAATCTGAAACAAAAGTTTGCTGTAACATCGCCGGGCCTCATCTTTACCAGGTTCGGCGGTAGGGCACTGCCGGAGCCGATGCCCGAGTGAGTGAGGACTCGTCTGGCGAAGTCTTTGCTTTCCTCAGTAACATTCGGATGTGTAGACATGATTGAGATGACGTCTTCGTGGGAAACTTCCCAGCTCTGAGATAACCAGCGATGCACCGGCATGTGCAAATGGGAGAGCCTGCCTCACCTTAGGTGCAAAGAACTCCTGGTGATCCACGCAGTACACCGCCGGCTCTCTAGCCTTCATTATTATAGGAATCAGAATGGCAACAGCTAGAGGCAATAGACCTGGCAGTAGAACCATACGCCTCAAGGTGAACATAGCAGACTTGGAGGCTTACTGGCGTAGCCGCAGCAGGCGGCCCAAGACGCCAAGGCCAAGGTCAAGGCGGAGGCGGTACCAATCCACACTTGATATCTGATATTAAGGCGGCGGCGATGGAGCAATGCTGCGCTATGGGGTGATTGTTGTTATCACCTTCTGAGAAACACGCGACAGAGCCTGAAGGCTTTAATGTTGGTGTCAACACGCGTGTTGTGGGGTTCGAAGACGGCAGCGGTTTCGGTACTCTCAACAGCAGACATTACGATACGGAAAAATAAGAGGGCTGATAGGGAATGTTTACCATCACTAGCATTTTCAAAACCGAAAGACACCATGCGCACGCGTGCAAGGTGATAGTTGAGATTTATCAAGATAGTCAAGCTTTTCAAGATATCTTTGAGAAGGGCTCAAGCTTCAAGGTTCCGAGAGCATTGAACACGATTCTGCAGATCCCTCTCCTGGGAATGGATTTTATTGAGCAGCCCGCCTTTTTGAATCATTTTATGAGCTTCAGTGGTAAAGGAGGTATATCTGGTAAGGGAAAGGGTGCCAAAGGCGGAGGCAGTGTGAAAACACCACACAGTCAGCGGCAAAATACAGTGCTTAATCAAAGCTCATTACCGGTAGGGTATTTAACAGTGATACAGAACACAGTCGTACCTTCGCACACTTCTTCGGAGGTTAATCTAATAGCCCTATGTGAATGTCATACCACACTTTGCACTAATCAGTAAAGAAAACAAATCTCCACACTTGAGCGTGAATATCCTTTTCCTTCTCCCCTGAATAATTTAACATCCCACAGTAACAAAAATAACACTTCCAAATCTATACATATATATTCCCATTGTAAATGAGTCATAGAGTCGGTCCTTCAGGAGGGATATGTTCCACCGGTTGCCCCACCAAAGACCCAAATATTTGTACGTCATTTACCAGAGTCAATGGATGAAAGTGCAGTTAGAAATATGTTTGGTAAATTTGGTCCAATAGAAAGTGTTCTATTCCGTGGTGACGGTGGTGCATTGGTATTTATACGTTATCAATATCCAGATTCAGCACAAGATGCAGTTAATCATATGAATCGTTTCACAGTACCATGGCCAAGTGGTGGACCATATACTTTAAAGGTTGAATTTGCAAGACCTAAACCACTTAAATTCGGTAAAGGCAGTAGTGGTGGTGGAGGGAAGGGTAAAGGTAGAGGTGGAAATTATGATGAAGATTGGGGAGAAATTGCACCACCAGTTCCTTCATCACGATATGTACGTGAAAGGAGTAGATCTCCTTATAGTGGTCGTTGGGATGAAAGTGGTAAAGGAAAGGGTAAAGGAAAAGCCAATGGTGGAGGAGGAGGAGGAGGAGCACCAAGAGGTTTAAAAGAAGCAACTTGTTTGGTACATAATATACCTGAAGGAACAACTTGGGAACATCTCAAGAACTTCTTCTCACGGGCAGGATTTGACACACCCACTGGTAAAATTTACCCCACGCCTCATCGCCATTCAAATGATTCCTTGTCTCAGTAAAAATCGGATGCGCTCCCGATAGTTATCCTGTTGGTGTCGTATCCTTTTACACTACAGATGATATGCTCAGTGCAATGAGGCAATTATCAAACTCAACAATGCCCTCGGCTACTAATGTAAGGGCTGCTACTTTCACTCTTCCTTTTCATTTATACCATTTTCGGTAATGAAATTATCAAAGCGCCTGACGGACGCTCTTTGGCCTGATGAACAAGATAAACTACAAGTCCCATATCATAACTTAATTTGCTTTTCACAGTTATCAACGGCAGCAAGCCGAGTCATCTACATGGAGCCCGATGGAATGCAGCGACCAACACCGGGTGAATTCTTCAAAGGCATAGAGCAGCATATCCAAAAGGAAACAGGGCAACCGCCATCACCGGCCAATGACCCCAAACAACAACAGGGTAGCAATGTCACACAATATCAACAACAACAACGACAACAACAAACAAATGGCTTGAAATTCGTTACACTGCAAGTATCTTCTCAATACTAGATCATACCTTCGCTGCGTCATGTATTCTATCATACTTGATGTACGGCGGGATTGACTTCCTGACGGTTCGCTAATCCACACCAAATGATCCAGCTCACCTACCCATATCTTTCAGATATGGACGTTATTCTTTGTCAGATGAAGGAGGCACGACAGTGTATTGTGGTGGACTACCAATCGACGTGCCCGCAGAACAGCTCAGTGCAATGTTCACGCCATTTGGCAGAATATTGCGGCTTGACATAAAGCCGCCGTTCTATGAATGGAAAGGGTAAGCTGCTGAGCCAGGGAGGGGGTGCTGCAATACTGTATTTTACGGTCGTCTCTAGCTCGTATGCGTTCGTCCTGTATGAGGATGCAGAAAGTGCAACAAATGCCGTGAATGCATTGGACGGCTTGGAGATGGCTGGCGCACCGAATGGTCGTATAACGTAAGACTTCCTGTCAGTCAGCTTCTTGTCACGGCTCCCCACTCAGAGTCCAGATCCAAGTTCAGAGGAAGCACTGGCCTGGTTCTAAGTCTCATTGATGACCACCATCATGATGATGATGATGATGATGATGATGATGATGATGATATTGAAAGGCTTTGATAATTGTGACGTTTTCGGTTATCGCTTATTAGATTGACTTTAATATATTTGTTGCGTTTTACCAGTCACATTTAGAACTAACAAGAACGGTCAAGACCGCGGTACACAGCCGTCCACTTCCTCTAACCGAGACACCGAATGACTCGCTCGCCGTAAAATGGCCAAGTGCTCAAAAATTTCATTTCCGGGGCGCCTTGAAGGACGGAATGACACTCTAGGGAACATT